TTCATGCATGAGATATGGACCCTTAAAGGTTGGAAATAGAGTAGTTTGGGTGTTGGTGACTTCCACAGCCATGCAAAGGCTTAAAGTCACCAACTTTATGGATTAAGTCGTATTAGAGAAGTCAGATCTGGAATTTGGACGTAAGTCTTAACTGATTAAGACCCAAAAATCAAAGAAGACTGAAACTGGGAATTACGCCGGGCGTAATCCCAGTACGCGGGGCGTAGGGGTCGCGTTCCCCCGTTTCTGTAAGGTTGTCGGGTATGCCCAGCGTACAGATTTGGTACGCGCAGCGTAACCCGGAGAGGGTTGACTTTTGTTGACTTTTAGGGTTTTGGTCAACTTTTGGACCTTGGGTCAAGGAGGGGTAAAATAGTATTTACCCTTCTGTGGGGTTGTAGAAAGGAATGTAGTCTAGCCTTGAGAGCCGTTAATGATTTGAAATAATTACTTGATGTGATTAGGCGGGGCTAGGTCGTTGTTTCGAGATTTAGGGATATCGAGCACGTGAGTTACTAGACGCCACACGAGGTGAGTCTTCTCACTATACATTACCTAGAGCGGTATTTATGTGTAGACCAGAGGGTCTTGTATGCTATGTGTATATATGAGATTATGTGCATTGTGTTATATGTATGCTATGTGTTGAACAGACCGGGACGGAGGGCCCAACGATATAGACCGGACCGAAGGGTCCGACGACACAGACTGGACCGAAGGGTCCGACGAGCTATGACCGGACCAGAGGGTCCAACGAGCTACGGGACTGGAGGGACCCGCTGTGACATATCGACCGGAGGGTCGTACTATAGCCTTGAGTGGCGTATGTGTTGTATGTGGTATATTGGGGAACTCACTAAGCATTTATGCTTACAGTGTTGTGTTATGTGTTTCAGGTACCAGTGAGGATCGCGGGAAGGCGCCGGTTTGATCAGTACACACATGAGGAGTTTTACTTATTATGATCTTGGGATGTGATGTTATGAATTGATTTTGTGGAACAATGACATTTATAACAATTATGAATGAAAGTGTGTTTTTAAAATGTGAAAAATTGTTTTAAAAATCTGGGTGTTACAGTTGTGGTGAAAGTTACATTTATCACACTTCGGTAGCATACCCGCATACGGCTTTGCAGGTGCTGGTGCACCTGGGGTGGTAGCGGCATGGACCGCCACAATCTGTTGTTTCTTTGTAGGTTCCTGGTTTGGTTCTCCCTTCTTCTTGCTTCCAAACTTCCTCTTGTTATAATTTCTGTTTTTTTGTTCGGTGACGGGAGTCATTATGCCCTTCTATACCCCATGGTCAATGGGCTTTTGAGCAAGGCGCTTGGCACTGTCGAAAGTTGTTGGGTTGGCAGCAATTACATTTCCCTGAATCTGGGGTGATAGCCCCCAGATGAAACGTTCTACTTTCTTGCTCTCTGAAGTGATCACTCCGGAGCATAGGATTGCCAGGTCACTGAATTTGGGGGTGTAGGCTTCGATTTCAGAGTCGTTCATTATGAGGTACCAAAGCTCCTGCTCTAGCTTCTATACCTCTCCCCTTGAGCAGTACTCTTCGAGTATCATGACATTGAGATCATCCCAGCTCATCGAGTTCGCCACCGGGAGCGTTAGGGATTTGATGTGTCCATTCCACCATGCTATAGAACTTGTTACGGAATCATAATCCATTGCTATTTTGCTACAAAATTTGCGACAAAATTGAAGTTTGTAGTTATTTTGCTACGAATTTGCTACATAATTAGAATCCGTAGCTATTTAGCTATCAACATTTTTTACAAACCAAATTTTGATGCTAGTTTGCTATAGAATTTGCTACGGAATTAAAATATGTAGTTATTTTTCTACTGTCTTTGCTACGGAATCAAAGTTTGCAGCTAACTTGATACAATATTTTCTACGTAACCAACCTATAGGTATTTTCTATTGGATAAAAGCCCACAATTATTATTTTACAAAATTGGCCAATAAATTTTTTAAGTATTCAGAGGCATCCTAAGCAAAGCTTAGACCCATTAAAGGATCACGGATGATCGGTGACCCACGATTGGTTGGATGACATGAATCCTACTAACCCGAATGACGTATTTGAAACCGACTATCGTTTGTAGGTAAAAAACGAATTTAAAAGAATTTGACTCTACAAACTTGGGAAGAGGAGAATGGTAGAGAGAGAAGATGTGGCAGAATCTAGCCATATGCAGCCAAACCGCATTGATGACCGCAGGGTGGGGAGCGTGTTCGCCACTACCATCGTGGCAAACCGTAGGGCAAACCGTGCCCACACCCATTAGGAACAAAAAAGCATATATTCCTCGCTCACATATTGAAAAGCAAGATTCCTTGAAGCTTTTTTTTGTCCGTATCCAATGGCTACTATGCCGACTCAATTTGCCATAAGAAAAACTCTATAAATTTCAGGTCTTTCTTAGCTTAAAACCAGTATTTTACCCGGTTTATCCGGACCAATAGACATATTCCCGGAATAGCCAAAACCCAAATAAGGCTATTATTAAAACCCAAAACTAGAACATGAACAAACATCAATACATAATACCTAATGTTGAAAATATGAATTTTAATAAACAATTATAGCCAATAATAATTATTCAAATAAGTACTATTCACATGAAAAAAAAATGTGCCCAAATTTGACTTGAATTAAATAAAAAATTGTTATACAAATATGATTTTTTTTTTCAATTTATATAATATATAATAATAAATAAATAAACAAATAAACAAATTAAAACTATTAAAACCTAATAGACGAAATGTAGTTATATTATAAAAAAATTAAATAAATAAACAAATTAAAACTATTAAAACCTAATAGACGGCATGTAGTTATATTATAAAAAAAAAATTAACAAATCCAAATCTAATTTCTTTCCTTTGATCTCATGAGTAACACAAAATCTAATTTCTTTCATTGTGATTTCACGAGTAACACCAACCGATAATCTCTAAAACGACCACCACTGTTAATGTACGTGTCGTCCACCACCACCACCAACGTTAACCTCTGTAATAAATAACAGAGAGCCCCCAAATTTATGGTTCCTCTCAAGGCATATCGCATCCCTGAGCACTAGTATAGTAGTCGATTATAGGAAAAATATGAACCCTCGGCTGTCGATTCTATCTTCATGATTCATGTCTCATGCCAGGGGTATTATAGTCCTTTCAGTGTTCTACTTTTTTAGACTACTAGTTTATCAGTCTCTGTTTAACATAAAGTTATAGTTATGGTTCCTCTACGAAATAAAGTTACAGTAATGGTCGTTGCGTACTTTTTTTGAAAGAAATAGTAACATACTTATGATTATTGAAAGATATAGCAACCTACCTGATAACTCCATGAAAGATGTAGTCCCATTTACATATAATTAACAAGAATTTATATTTTCTAATGTCTAATATATACTTTACTCATAATTTTAGATGGAAAGAGAGACAATAGGGAAAAGAGTTACTGCATCGGTGAATTCAGAGAGAGTAGGGGGTCCAATATTTGTTAGCTTTAAGACAAGATCCACACAATCAAGAACACTAATTGCATCTTTTCAAATTGAGCCCATAAGATACTCATCATCATAATTCATGAATCATGCTTTTACCATGGAGGATAAACTGTTATTTTCTTATAAAATGCATCAAGATGTCAAATCTTAAAGAAGCTTGAATATATGCAAGCACCTGACATCATCCATTTAAAAAACAAGATTTAAACCAGAAAATGATCATTTTACCCTTACTTTTCCAAAACAAATTTCACAATAATCATCAATTTTTAACACATGAGCTGAGTTGGAGAGACAAAAAAAGTGGGATAGATAGATAAAAGCGTTCGTTGGTTATGTTTTCTCTTAAAAAAAATAGTAAAATACTTATCTATTTGAAAAAAATTCATTAATATGTGACTTTTGACTCATTCATTTATATTTTAAATCCTATCCATATATAACCTCGTATTACCTTTTCCTTATTCCTGATTTATCTCCTAATTTACTGTATATATAAGTACATAAGTTTTTTTTTTTGAATGATACGATATACAATATACCATATATAGAATAGTTATTAACAAAATAGTATTTCAAATATTTTAAATTCATCCCCCCACACCCGGCAAAACAAATATCCCTATATCCACTCCCTTTAAAACCATTTCCCCATTAATTGCCCACGTCAAGGAGAACTTAGAGTACGTCTGTGCTCTTCGTGCTTTCCTCTCGTCTTCTAGGTCTTTTCAGTGCTTCTGGTCAAAGTGTTTCCCTCGTCTTCGAGGTATGCTTTCTTTTATTTCTTCTCTCTTCTTCTTAGTCTTCTGTATTTTATAACTATCAGCAATATAAAATTAATAATGGAGTTTTACTTACGTTAGCGTTGCTTCTATTTAGTATACTCCAATTGAATATATCTTCTCTCATTCTCTAGTTTTTGTGCTATTTACGTTATGATAAAGAAATGTTTGATCGACTTCTCTGGGTTATGTAATTATATTTAGATGTTGTGATTTGATAACAATATTATATGAAACATGTTTTAGATCATGACAAGATATTAATTGCTACAATAGTCTTTTATATGAATCCATTGAAAAGTAGTAACAATTGTCGTCTAGTTGAATTTTGAAACTCGGTATTTTAAAATGTTATCTGATGTATATCACATTTAATCATGTTTAGTGATTTATGCCAATTGTTGCTTTCTAATCCTCCTGATATGTTTGACTTTTTCATATATCTTTTTGTAACATAACATCACTGGAACATATATACTAACAGATTAGTCAAATTATATAACAAAATGGTCACTGATTTAACACTAAATTACAGTAGTGGTTCATGTGTCAACCTTGCCTCCTATGTCATCTTCTGTGAACATTTATTCCAACCACATCATACCTACTTATAAAATCAACATATTGAAATGGTCCCATTTGATGGTTAGTTTTATTACTATATGTATATGGTGCAGCTAGCAGGAAAGATGTCTCCATTCCCATTGAAAGGAGTTCCAACAAGGCCACACAAACATATGCATCGCTTGTTACAAAGGTCTACTAATGAAGCATCTACACCTGCATTGTCATCGTCTTTAGTCCCACAATTTGGTACTGTATCCGTGCCATCGTCCAACACTACATCCACACAGACATTCACGCGGACAACTTCTACTCCTCCATTAGTTAGTACTATATCAGCCCCACGATTCACCCCTTCATCCACAACAGCCCCATCATCTACCTTTGCATCCAAAACGACATTCACATCGGCAACATCTACCCCACCAATGTTTGGTACTCTATCAATGCCTTCATCCACACCAACTCCATCATCATCCCCTTCATCAAAACCAACTCCATTATCTACCCCTTTATACACACCAGCTCCATCATTAACCCCTTCACCAACACCACTTCCATCATCCACCCCTTCATCTAGAGCAGCTCCGACGACACCGCTTGATGAACAAAACGAAACACGAATAGACGGACGCTTATGTATTACAGTTCAGGCAAAGGAGTAAGTTAAAATTGTAGTTAATTTTCATATATTTTGTTCAAGTTTCCTTAATTTCAAATTTTTTATCAAAAATATACGTTACAACCATTATAATGTTTATTTTTTTATGTAAGTTATCACCTTCAGGTAAATGTTCCTACATAATCAAAAAACCATTCCTAGATAAAGTGGACCCTAAAGGATATAAGTGGGCAACTTTAAGTGAAGAGACAAAACAATCTTATTGGGAAGAGTTTTAGGTAAATGGTTTATTATTTATGGTTTTATTCACTTATTAGGCACATTCGTCATTTATGATAACTCAAATTTTATTATGTATTGTAGAAAAAATGCTATTGGGATGTTGCAGTTGGTAACTCAGTCAAGGCTGCTTGGGAACGTAAGGCCAAAGAAAGGTAACGACAGTATATCTATGACATGAGCATAAGAAATCCAACCCATGAAAAGCCGTCTCACATAGAACAACAAGTGTGGAATTCTTGGACAATATGGAGTTCAGAGGAGTTCAAGAAAAAAAATCATAACAAAATAAAAAAAATAGGCGTAAAGGTGTAGTGGGTGGAAAAGTCCCACCTACTCATAATGGAGGATCTGCTTCTCATAAACAAATTGTTGGTGATATCGTAAGTATTTTTTTACCGATTTATATTATTATGATAGCATCTTGTTTTTATTTGATCTAATGGAGATTTGTTTTAAATGTTATAGCATCACGTTTATTTTTAATTTATGATTACTAATTGAAATGTATTATAGCATCCCAGTTTATTTGTATATAACAACTTTATTGGTAAATTATCGGTTAGGAAAGTATTATGGTTTCATATGCTAATATATATTTCCATACATTTTGTGTTGAGATTTTATAGATTTCTGATATTATTGTAAGGAGGAATATACCAGAACAGTTCCATCAGTCTATGATGTAAAAACATTCCTAGATGAAAAGGCGAAAAAAGTTCATGTAAGTTTATTTAAGTAATCTGGTGATATTAAATTAAAGATCTTGTATAAAATGTATACTAATACCTTGATAACATTGTAGGATTTTATCGAGTCTCGACGTGCGGATTTTGAACTATTAGGAGAGGAAGTTGATGAAAATGAGTTGTTTTATACAGCTGTTGTAGGACATGACCATAAAAGAAGAGTTTATGGGCTTGGATCATATGGCAGATCCATTTTTCATGGAAATTCTTCTGAAGCATGCACTTCACCGGATACAAATTCGGAAAAACATCATCTTGAGGCCAATATCCAAAAACTAGAGGAAACTATTGAGCAACAAAGAGTCGAATTGGATGAAGTGAGAAACACGATCAATGCTATCAGAAACATGATTAACTAGTGTTATTTTCTTTAATTGTTCGTTTATCATTTGTAGCTACCTTTTACTTTTTAATTACATTGTCTTACGTTTTGGACAAAGTATGAAAACAATGGATGCTACAATATTTTTATTAAGAATTTATGCAATTTTGTTTTATTTTATTTTGCATTTTCCTAATGTTTGTTGTTACAAAGTTGGGTTGGAGATAATTTTGTAGTAAATTTTGTATTTATTTTGCTATGGAATTGATCTTGTCACCATTTTTCACTATGGAACTAGTCTGTAGTTATTTTTGTATGCATTTATCTACGAATTTATTTTGTAGTTAAATTACTATCGATTTTCCACGAAAGTTATTCCGTCATGTTTTGTTTGCTATGGAAGTAGACTGTAGTGAATTTGCTACGGAACTTCACCGTCATGGAATTTGCTACAAAATATTAGTTATGGAATTTGTCTGTAGTGAGCTTACTACGAAATAGTTGCTACGAAATTAGTTCGTAGTGATTTTGCTACAGAATATTGTCTACGAAGTTATTTTGTAGTGAGTTTGCTATGGATTTGCTATGGCATGGTCCGTAATTAATTTGCTATAGAATTTCTACCAAAAAATTTATAGGCACTTCGCTACAGATTTACTACGGATATCGTATGTAGCTATATTCCTACAAAAGAAGGTTGTAGCAAATTTCGTAGCAAAGGTCCTACGGATTCCGTAACGACCCTATAGCTACAAAGAATTTTACTATAGAATGGTGTCGTAGAAAATTCTGTAGTTAATCACGTTTGCCTATGGAGTTACATGCTTTAGCTACAGAATTTTTCCGTAGCTAAATCCACTTTTTCTTGTAGTGGACGCCACCGGTTCCGTTGAAGGGCTTGGGCTTGTAGTTTGCAAAGTCTTTATAAGTGCATTCCATCGGTTGCCCTTGGTTTTCAGTTTGATTGGAATTGTTCGTTCCATTTCCGCCTGCATTGCTGCTACTGTTGATTTGAGCTACAGCAGCAGCCATAGTTGCGGTCACTGCAGCTTGGAAAACTGCAGTGTCCATTTGTGGGGGAGGTGGTGGTGGTGGTGGCGCCGATGTATTGTTCTTGCGCCTGTTGTATCTTCGGGGCGGCATTTTCTGCCACAAGGTTGAATGACAATTAGTTTTTGATATGGGATGTGGTTCGGGCACTACTGAAAAGGAACACCTTGTTTGTATCGAATCTAGTTGTTATTGTGAGTTTCTTGTACTTATAATTGAAACTTTATTATATCAAATAATAATGAAAAAAAGACATAGCAGATAACAACATCCAATAAAATAGAAACACATATTCGTTTTCATTAATGATAAGGTGCCAATACATAATTTTGAAAAATTGACCTCTAAAAAGGTCTACATTACATTAAAGATAAAAATTTGGCAGCATAACGACCCTCCGAATTGTGTAATCACTTAGACGTAGGGTCGGTCCTACATACAGGAAACAGAAAAAGGGGGCTAGCACCAACGCATCCCCATAAACCTAGTCTATAGCAAATGGTGAGTAGGATGAATCCTACTCATGACGGGCAGTCCTCTACGGTCCCTGAGATGATGTAGAGGCCCCCCTTTAGCTCAGCCAGTAGACGCTCGGCAGCGAACACTCTCTCCACGAGTGATGCATGCCTCTCCGGATATTCCCTTACCTCCGCTCGGGCGGTGGTAAGATCCTCGATGAGTATGTCCATGGGATAGTAATCCCTCTCAAGGTCTCGAGTGCGCGCGTTTGTGACCTTTGCAACGGCTCCCAACTCCAATACGCGGTTCCCCGTCGCCCTAGTCTGGTCACGAATGTTCGAGATCCGCTGGATCATGACTGGGAGGGCTCTATCAGCGGATGCTCCATGGCTGAGTTTATAAAACCCTCGCTCCATACCAAATGGTGGGCGCTGCCTCTGGTGTCGACTCCATCTCTCAAGCTCCTCCCACCTTTGCTAATGGGCCAAAGTCCATGTTGAAATCATTAATAGGCCTCATGACCCAATAAAGCCCAACCATAGGAACCATGCCCCAAAACAGATAAGTTGGAGCACTAACTCCAAAAAGTGACCAGAACCAATGAATAATTAATGCCCAAAAGCTTACAAACACAAAACAAGTCCGAGCCCATCTGAGGTGTGTACGCCTTGCATACCACCTTGGTACGCGCAGCGTACTAAGTCCCTGAGCCGTACGCGCTGCATACTTTAAGTTACGCCCATCGTACAAACAGATTAAGAACATTTTCCATTAAGTGCTTAATACTCGATGTTCTAACGTCCATTATCAGATCTGAGCTCATTAAGACGTACTAGGTCATAAAGTTGGGAACTTTATGCCCTTGCATTCTATATGGGACTTAAAAACTTCATTCTTCACATTAGGACTTCATTTAAAGCTTCAAACTCATGCATGGAGTCTAGATACTCTTCAAGCTAGCACCTTTATGCATCTAACATGCTCACAAGGCTCAGATCTAACTATTTCAGCCTCTGGAGATGCTCAACTCTCAAGAGAAGGTCCAAAACCAACTAAAAGGGACAATATAGAAAACCCTAGCTAGATATAATGAATAAGATGGCAAGATCAAAGCTTTATACCTCCAGAGCTCTTCAATGTGAACTAGATGCAGAACCTTGAAGCCCAATGCCACTCCAAGATTGCTTAGCAACTTCTTCTTCTTGAATGGACACTAAAATGGCCACAAATACACTCCTTAAACTCAAAAACACTCTCACAAGGTATCTTTGGTTTAGAAGGGCGAAATAATACTATGGAGGCTGTCTAGGGTTTGGTCCAAGAGGCTTAAGGATGTTTAAATAGGTGTCAAGTCCGAGAATTAGGGTTTTATCCCTCTGTCGTGTACGCCCTGTGTACCTATACGTACGCAGGGCGTACGCGGCCACCTTTCGCGATCATGCACCCTTAGTACGCTAAGCGTACTCCTGGAGTACGCCCCATGTACTAAGGGAGCTTTTATGCCATCTTTTCCTTTTCAAGGGTCTAAAGAGTAATACCTGAATTGGAGTGTTACAAGGACGCGTTTCTGATATGATCAGAGTTAGACAACGGTTTTTGAAAGCTACGATTGTTGATTAGATTCTGAAGTCATACTTGCAATAATACTTATTAGACTTACCCAAGTGGGAGATTGTTGGACTAGATGTCTAAGCCCATAACTATATTTGGTATGTACTTGATTTGATTATGAGCATGGTCCTTTTGGGTTTCCTTCACTCATGCAACTTGATAGAATGACAAGTGGAGAGAGAGTAGGATTTATTATATGAATAATAAATTGGTACTCAAAATGATTTTATTAATATATTATAAGATTAATATATTATTTGGAAATCATATTATTAATTATTAATTAATCAAAAATTAATTTGAAATTAATTTTGGGTTTAAAAGGAACTGATTAATAATGGATGGGCTGTTTTGCAAATTATTGATACTTGTAGAACTGGGCTATTGGACTCCTTAGTTACGAACGGACGAAATTCTATAGGGAGGCCCCATAGATTTCATCCAAGGTTTGCTAATCAAGAGTCCATGGACTGCATAAGCCTTAAGCGGGAATTAGGGTTTCCTCCAGAAACCCTAGCAGCCCACCCAGCTATATAAGCACTCCAAGACTAAGGAAAATCGGTCCAATGCTTGAGAAACCCTAGAGTGGCCGATTTCATCTTCTCTCCAAGTCTTCCTTTGCATTGTGTGTTTATGACTCCGTTAGAGGTGCAACAATTGGGGCACTAAGCTTTCAAGGGTCAAAGAACTTCAAGGATTGTTCTTGTTATTACAATATAACAAGTGAGGTAATGACTAAACCCTAATTGATATGTCAATTTCGAAATTGTGTATGCTAGTCTTAGGGTTATTGCTTTGGAGTTTGTATTTGCAAGTTCAATAGAGAAAAACTTAGATCCAAACCATTAGGGTTGCACGTACACCATAGGAATGTTGTAGTTCTCAAAACCTATCAAAGGTATCACCCTGGAAGGGTGTAATACGCTTCAAGAAGAGAGGAAAGTTGCGGCCCCTATATATTGTGCGATTTCGGGTGAGTGCCAGGGTTGGCAAGGTAGCTTACAGATTGGATTTTTCTAAGGAGCTCAACCAGATCCACAACACTTTCTATGTTTCGCAGCTTCGGAAGTGTGTGGCTGATGATTCAACGGTTTTTCCCTTGAAGGATGTTCAGGTTGATGATTGCCTGAACTATGTTGAGAGGCCAGTGGCAATTTTGGATAGAAAGACAAAGGCCTTGCGCAACAACATGATATCTTTGGTCAAGGTCGACTGGCAACATTGGAAGGGATAGGAGTGGAGCTGGGAACCCGAGGCCAGTGGCGATTTTGTTTGCACCAGCGGACTTCAAGCACGAAGTCTGATTCAAGTGGGGGAGAATTGTAATATATGGATTCTTGGAGGTACTTTAATTTTATGTGTGTGTGTGTGTGTATATATATATATATATATATATATATATATATATATTTGGATTTTAGGCAGCACTACTTCGTGCTGAAGGCGTCCCACGACGTGGCTATAGTCGTTATGTCGCGGGTTTTAAATGGCCGCCACGGCGTGGCAAGTCTATGGCCACAACGTGGCAACTGTTTAATGAGAAACCCTAATTTCTTGGCTATTTAAAGAAAAGAGGGAGGCTAGGGTTGCCCACCCTCAACCTCCATCACTCTTAAACCTCCGAGTTCATAACCCTAATCTCCTTTGAAGTTTTTTAGCTCATTTGGTCCTTTGTGGTTGTTTTTAGCTCTTTCTTGAAGAAGAATACTCCATCGGTGTATTGTTGGGAGAATGCAAGCTTCTTTCCATCATCTTGAGTTTTTTCTAGATCTTTGTAACTTGTAAAGCTTCTACCTTTCTCTTTCAAGCATGCTAGATCTACGTGTTTGTTCTTATTTCTTAATGTTGGGTGGAGTAGAATGCATGGAGTCCATAAAGTTGGAAACTTTATGGATTATTAAGGTCCCCTTGCTATCA